ACACACACACACACACACACACACACACACACACACACACACAATTACTTCTCCACCTTCAGCTCAGTCAATAGACGCATGACATTCACACAGTGTATGTATTAGTGAGAGACTTGTTGCTTTCAAATATAACAACTGAACTGACAAACAAAAGCTTTAGAGCCAAAAACATTTAGACGTTACCCACTTAAAAACAGTCATGTTCCTTTTTATTGCACACCGATATACAAACACACTCCCGCCACACAAATAAAAGGGTACGAGAGCAGGGTTTGATGGTGAGTGAACAGGCCAGAGGAGATGGAAGAAACACACCAGGGGGAATGATGAGAGGAAATGATGCGCATGATGAGTGCTGAATGGTTGGCCAGTGGGACAGACCCCATCTGACTGCCTGCTAAAGGGGTGGGAGATACAGTGAGATGGCTGCAGAGGGGGGGGGGGGAGCAGAACCAGAGCCTGAGAGAGCAGAAAGGAAAGGATGATCAGTGGTGAAATTCTATTAGTGTGACCGCAAAGTTTCATCCTGCCTCGTGCTTCATCAACAGCTAAAGTCAACGAGATGACACGAAGGTTTCACAGTTAGAGAGGACCGGACAGGGCATCATTTATTCATCTCTGATTGCTGCAGTTCCACTTCCTCTTTTGCTCGAGTTTTTCTACAGCACAGAAATGTCTCGAGCTCCTGGAAGCTTCACTGGGTCATCAAACTTTTTATCTGCAGAGCAAGTTCTCACACAGAAACACCTCCAGTGATGACCCAGTTCTGACTCCTCTGTCCTATTCAGAGGCCCAGATCTACTTTAGCTAGAGGTCTATAAAAGTACTTGAAATAATTAAGTGGATGTAAAAATTCCTTAACAGAAAATTACGTTGGTAAAAATTCATTTCACAGATAAGAAAAGTACTCAAGATATAAAACTCACAATAAAAGGGAATGTAAAAAGCAAGTACTTTCACACTGTAAGAAACGAAGTGTTGAATTTACTTAACTAATTAACCATATTTATATTTAAAACATTAAGGTGTTAAATTTAAAAGTAAAGGAGAAAAAGTATATTTTTACGTTTTGAATGCAATGAAATAAAAGTAAATGTTATGATTAAAAAACACTTTAAAATAAATCCTCAAAAAATTATTTCAGTATTGTAACTAAGTAAATGTAATGAGTTACTATACAC